CAATGTGGGTGTTTTTTTTTTTGTGTATAATAAAAAATTTAGTAATCTGAAAAGTGATATTTCAGCATTAAAAACACTATTAATGCAAGAAATCCACAGCACATGCTTTTGATGAGCCTTGTAATTTACTCTTCCTTTCCCCACACACAACACACCCTTTTAAGTAAAGTACAATTTAAGTTGTAATTTAATGTTTACTTCACCAAGTAATATTCAAAATCATCTTTTGAGGGAGTTTTGCCAGCACTTTCTACAACATTTACAGGGGGAAAAAAGTGCTCTTTTTTTTTTTTAACTACTTGAGAGTAAGTTTGGTATGATTTTTTTTTCCTTCGAACGGTGAAAAGTACTTATGGTCAGTTAAAAGCAATTGGGAAAATTTTAGAAATACTTGTGAAAAAAGTGTTAATCTAGAAACATAATGTTCAAATTTATTGTGGTAATTAGTCTTTTTAACTGCTGAAATAGTTCTTCAACAAATACAAAGTGGGTAATTAACTTAGGTCTTTTTTTTTTTACTTTTTGTTTTTTTAAAAGGTAAAGTTGTTCACTCATTATTTCCTTCTTTCGTTTTTTATTTTTCCTTTTTAAAGTGACTTTTTAAATGTTTCTGAATTTTAATATAAAAAAAAAGTTATTTAAAGCTTTTATTTTTAAAAACAACGTATAAATTATGAATAATAAAGAAATTGTCTATAAACAATTTTATTTGAATACACAAAATAAAAATAAAAATAAAAAACCATATATATATATATATATATATAGATGTGTCACACGGTTGCTTATGCATTAAAAAAGAAAAAAGGAACAATCATCATTAATGGCTTGTGAATTTCTGATTGCATAATTTAATCTTTATGTCAAGGAGAGTCTTGTTTTCACACATGTGATGTCATGTCATTGATTGTTGCAAAATATATATTTATTATATTAACAAAATAATTTATCATCATTATCTAATTAAAAAAAAAATTAATGTGTGGAAGGAAAGGAAAAAGAAAAATTATGTGGAAGTTAAACCTCAAAACTCTTTTTTTCCCTCAAACAAATTCAATTAATTTCCCAAAAAAAAAAAAAATTTCAAACCTACTCATGCAAAAGGCTAAAATAGCCGTTGAACGTCTAGCAATATATCAATAATACGTAGGAGTAAAATAAAAATGACAAAATAATAACATTATGTATTTATAAACAAAGTAACAAAAAAAAGTCCAAAACTTATTTACGAAAAAAATTAAAATAACCTTAAAATTCTATCAATCTATCAGTGATACACATAGGTAAAAATAAAATGACGTAAAAAATATCCAAATATGCATCCTAAAAATTAAGATATTTTTATTCATATTTGTAAAATCACAATTTTCTCGCTATATTTACAAATACGACAACGTGAATTGTCATTCATTACTTTCTTTTTTTTTTTTGCTT